ACAGCCTAATGTGTCTTGACAACTTTAGTGAAGTAAAGCCATATAAAGCCATATTAAAGCCACAAGCTGTACTACATACCTTCAATGTACCATTTAATGACTCAAGGAATAAAACACCAAGTAATAGCTTATACAGCCTAATGTGGCTTGACAACTTTAGTGAAGTAAAGCCATATAAAGCCATATTAAAGCCACAAGCTGTACTACATACCTTCAATGTTACCATTTAATGACTCAAGGAATAAAACACCAAGTAATAGCTTATACAGCCTAATGTGGTTTGACTAAAAGAAAACAAATCCAAATCCAACTTATTTTAAACATGTGCACTCTTTCTGTACATATAAGTGGAGGGTCCTCTTCGTTTCCAGTACATGATAGTAAGTAATATCTTCTCTACAAACACTGAGGGTAGCAGGCAAAAATCTCTATATCACAAAAGTTCATATTCAAAACGTTTACTCTCGCCAGGCTGTATATGAATTAATAATTTTTAAAAAATGTTTGGAGTTAAAGTCTGAATAAATGTTCTATCAACCTAAAATAAAATTGAATGCCTTTGGATAAGCACATCAATGATATCTAGTGTTTCGCTCACCATGTTGAAATGTAATATTGAAGACTAAATTTCACATTTGCCTTAGGTCAATAAAGGGAACCAAATATTTTAATATTTAATAACTGTCAGTCCAGAGATTGATGGGCCTGTGTAAGAGACGTTCAGATCTAATGTAGCTGCATATTATAATTCGTTTAGGCTGTAAAAACTGAGTGTACGTGAAATTCAGTTGATTTTTTATCCTTTTCCATACTAACTGCAAACATAAAAATAAAATTAAGAGAACGTAACATGCACATCAATATTTTATGCAAGTTGTATTATCATAGAAGCTTTGTAACGTAATTTCGAATAATTACTTACAACGAAAGAGAAGGTTTTCTGTTTCGTTTTGTGTTGCTTTAAACTAAGAAGAGTAAATTAAACTGATATCCTAATATCTCTCACAAAAAAGTAGCGTGATTTCTGATATCTTAAATTAAAAGTGAAAAGAAATACCTCACCTGAAAACAAATGAACATGAGGCTTTGAAAATAGCTCTTTTCAGGCAGAAATTATGTCATTTAAGAAAAGTCGTTTTTACTGCAAATAACTTCTAAGTACTACCCAATGACCGGGTTTTATTTGACTGATTTCTAGGCAACTATGAGCCAAGGTCACCCAATACAAAAATGTTCATTCTAGGATATGTACATGTTGGCAAATATTTGTCGTGCAGCTTAACTTTAAATCACGTGTCAACTAGCACGTAGAAGAAATGAGGGGGGAGAGATATGTTCCACACACAACCTCTTCTATACAAGCCGGAAAACATTTTGAAAACTAATCACATCAGAATCGCAGAGTACCAACACAAGAAAAATGCTTCATTAGAGCCTTGCAGTGTAAAGACCATGTTTTCCATCATCAAGCCACAACAACCTCGCGGATACCAAAGCAGGGCATTGGCTGAAAGGCGCCTAATAAAATAATTATGGGTGGACAGGTTTTATACAGCCAAAGCTGAGATAATTTGTTACCACCGGATCTCAGATGTCCGTTTATGAAATAAACATCTGGCATCACCGGGACCTGTGGAAATAACCTTAGAAGCAAATGTAGAGATTGGGCAAAAGGGGAAGCAGAAAAAACTCTATCTGTCCATATCTAAAGACCATAGTCGCAGATGCTTCTACATTATAAATACTGATAGAGATAGTTGAGCATTCAGTACCTTGAGGAACAACGACATTCTACATAAGGTTGGTGAATTAATCGAGCAGCACAAGGATGGAGCTGGAAGCCACAAAACGAGATCTTCTGAAACCAATGAACCACAAATGGACAGTGCCATCAACATAATATTTGCAACTGACTCACAGGTTGTTTTACGTAAAATTTAAAGTGATTGGTTCCCAAATGGATGGCAGAAAGCAAAGCAATGTGATGATAAGACCATCACCTGTGAAGGAACTTTTTATACCTCTTGCGAAGCAGCAATCCTCCACATGAGGGGTCGGCACAATCCTTCTAATAATTAACTTGGCATACTCTTATACACTGAATGGTCCTAAACAAACGACAGTCGTTTTATGTATAATATCTACAAAACAATTTACCCCAGTTTATTATTAGTCAATGATGAAACATTTCCTACGCTTGTGCATTAAGAGAAACTCTTATGAAAAGTTTACAAAGCTGAGAGAGGCACACACATTTTTCTAAATTTCTAAATTGACTTAAATTACTTTCTTATTTCTGAACTTGCTTCATTATCTGCGTAATTAAATTACAAAGAAATGAGTTTATGAATGTTATTGACAGTTGCTTACTCTGCTCGTTTGTTACCAATGTTTATAAAAAAATGTATCTAGCGCTCACTATTATAATCCATCTGAGTTGTAGATTAATTCCGTTCTGTTCTAATAGTCCCTGTTTCTATGTATGTAAATAATGTTCTCAAAATTTCAGTGTGTTGCGGTTACAGTATTTTACGTTTAAACAATATGATGTAGCTTATACATATGATTAATGTAATTGTATATACGAGTTATCAATATCATGTCAGCTGTAAAACGAAAGATACGATATACGACTGGTAGGGTTTTGTTCTGCTTGAAAACATAATTAGCTGAGAATACATAATTCATTTTTTTAAGTTACAATTGTACGTCTATTAGGTACAGACGATGAATACTAATCAAGGTTTGAGACATAGTGTGTCTAGAAGTATTCTTATTTAGTATATTCAATTTGGCCACTACTAATTGGTTTAAGCTTTAGAAATAACTAAAGCTAAAGTATTAATAAAACAAATGTGTTTAAAATTGAGAATATTATGATTTATACATATACATTAATTTTAGTCGAATATCAACGCTGTGCATGTCAGAGTAAATTAAATATATATATTCTGATTTTTTTTCTCAAGGTCGAAGCACATTTGCAACAAGTTGAAAGATCAAGCCAGATGACAGATGTTCAGATACCACAATTTGGAGGTCAAAACAAAGACACATTAGAAGCTAATAACTTGGTATTCAGAGATTATAATACGCTTCCTGGACAAGACCTGACAGGTTTGTTAAATCCTATTCCCCACCCCAACACTCTGGTTTCTGACATAAAAATACCATCTTCTCGAAAGTTTGAAGGTCAATTCCTAGCAGACGGACAAAGTTCCCCAAAGATATGTCGATCTTCCAAAACCACTCGTGGCCAACAATGTTTTGGGCATCTTACTTGGTCAAGTCCTTATTCACAACCAATGGTCCAGAAGAAAAACTTAGCTGCACTGGCTAGGAATGGACGTCTAAGTTCGTTACAGTCTTTTCATTCTAGGTTTTCAAAGAACTCTCAGGTTATTCTCGGTACAAAACAACTTGTGGATGGTTTACCACCACAGAATAACAATCCTGAACAGATCGAGTATCCGATACAGGACGATGACGAATTAGAAGACTGTGTAACAGACTACCAGGAGGCTGGGGAACAAAACAGTCTAGAAAAAGAAAAACGAAATATTAGAGCACTTGCAAGAGCCGGAAAGCTTCCCATGCGCTGGCACGGACAGCCTAATTGGCTGAAACTGCAAAAAGACGATTTTGTGTACCCTTTCCGACACATGTTCCAGTTAACTCCTTTGAGCTTTTTCATCGACAAACGGCAACCAATCGGGTACTTGCGATTCTACAAAGTTAAAACAAAGCGTTGTAAGAGATCGACCCCTGCTGGAGAATCTCGTTAATAAAATCTAAGACCTAAAGAGAACTCAGATAATCGTGTGAAATTTTATGGAATAATCTAAATTTGGGTGTTCACTTATTGCAGTTTGATGTTTTGCATAAATAACTTTCTTTAGATTCTCAATGTTTTAGTACGGGAACTTTTAAATCTCTTTCAAGTGTGGTTTTAAAAGTCTTTATCTTTCCGGTAATAATTGGAACATTTCAATCACGCACTAAAATATATACTGCTAGAGTAATCTGTATTCGTCAGTTTCAATAAAAGTACATGTTCATTCTTCTTGCAAGATATTCATGTGTCTCGTTGCACTTCATAAGAGAAAGTAGTCAGGTTTTCAGCCCTTGGAATAAAGCAAGGGTAAACGTGAATACTAATATGGCTGTGTTTCTGAAATGATTCTTCCAATATGTTCTGTTGAAGATTACGGCGGCTGGCTAAGTGGCACAGTAGAGCATTTTGTCTACACTCAAATAAATCTGGTATACCAGAGGAATAAGAAAACTTAAGGCAGCTTTCTAGAAAAAAAAAAAGACGCATACTTGGTCGATTGCTGCGTTTTTTTTCGAAGGTCCGACCATAGAGACTAAATTCAATTACAAACTTTTGGTGCCAAAGCAATATGAGTATGCGATATCCTAAAGCTGGTGGAGTAGCATATGGGGTAGCAATATTAATAAGGACTATAACTACTGTAAGCTGCATCTCTGTTAATGCTTCAATATGACAGAAACACCATCTCGCTGCCTCTTTATATGTCAAAGGCTTGGATCATTTATTACTGGTGGAGAAGCAAGATAAGGAAAACCATTGCATCTAGAAATAAGAAGGAAGACACTCTTCACAGAGAACTACAAGAAAGATTAAAAAAGGATCCCATAGAATTTCACAATACATCTATATGAGGTTATACATCGAAGACACACAGAAGGGATCTCACAGGGAGCCACCACCTCGAAAATAAGGATAAGTACTTGCTAAAACACCCTAATAATCCAAACAGATTGAGACGTGTTGTTCAAACTGTGGAGGTAAGGCAGCATACTAGAAGTCTGCGATGAAAGATATCGACGATCCAAGGAAAAGCCTTGCTGGCAGCATTCACTTTCTCGTTAACTTTATGCATCTCCTGCCGCCAAACTTGCAAGCATGGATGATCTTTTTTTCAAATGCTCGATCAAATATTGCCTTGTTCACTTTCTACTTAGCACTTTTAAATTCATTTTAACGTGCTGTAAAACATACCATTGCATACTTCCTGTAACCTGGAATTTAGACCAATTACAGTTGGGAAAATTCTACAGTCCATTCTTCTTAACTTAGAATTGTTTCTGGCAAAGCAAAAATCTCCCTAACAAGGCATTCTGTGTCACCCGTTTTCAGACCAAAACAAATAACGGTTACCAATAAATTTTCTCCTCTCTCTAGCGTTGCTGCTGTAGAGAGCGTGACACACGAACACTACTGCTTTATATGTATAAAATCATAGTATCTTCGCAAGTGTTTTCTAATATCATGCAGGGAACCTTATCATTTCATACTACCTAATTTACTTGGATACACTTACATTATATTCTACAGGTTAAAACTTATATATCTCTTCATATTACCTCTAAAAAGCAGTGCTTTATATTCATATTCTTCTATCTTGGTAACATAAGTAAAATATTTCTATACAAATCTATTTATGATCAAACATAAAATAAAAGTTTAGCTTTAAAAATGTTAAACCATGTGAACTGTACAAATGGCAAAATCTTGATCAAGACAAGAACTAGAAACAATTGTAACTCATTTTTTGTACGCAACGTTTTTTGTTTTTTATTCGCCAACACGACTACTTCAAAGTTGTGCCTGCTCAATTCACAAGCTTCTATTGATTTTATTAATAAATAAGAGGGAATCCTCAATTACCGCCCCTGTAATTTTTAGATCCCAAATTGGTCAAGAGATGCAGCTATGAGCTGAAAGTTCGTACTTGAAAAAAAACTCTGTTTGTTTGTTTGTAGTTATGTACAAAGCTACACAATGGGCTATCTGTGCTCTGCCCATCACCAGTACCTAAATCCTGTTTCTAGCCAGAGCCATTCTATGACCTGCTATGTCGCGGCTAAAAAAACAATATATGCTTTTCATGCACGTCATTGACCTTGTATTGAAAACAAAACTAAATCAACAAACGTTTTGTGTATAACTCAACATCAACCAAATCATCATATTCATTTTATCTGGTTTGTTTTTGAACCTTTACAACCGGGGTGAGGAAAAATTTAAAAATGTTTTTCTCCAGTCTTTTATTTGCCACTATATTTTGAAACATTCAAGTAAAATAAGGGGTGCACGAGCATTATTTATACCGACAGAAAAATCAAAGTAAGCAGTATAACCATAATATCCAAAGCAATCTTTACATGGTAAATACAAAAATTAATATGTGATTCTTACTGTTTCTTCTTGTTTGGTGAGTTCTTATATAGTTTACAATAAAAGCTCATAGAATACTGTTTTAAAACCTAAACACCCTCACGTAAATCTGAAGAAATATATTTACATTCCCTCCTGAAATGTATTAGAAAACCTAAAAACTTTAACTTGATAATAGCATTGTGATAAACCTTTGAGTATTTGACTATTACTTACAAAACAGTGTTCTTAATTTACAAACAATTACGTTATTTTTATGTCTGTTACGTATTACAATTTCAGCTAGCCTTAAACTGAGTTAAATTGTAATTTAGATTTAGTAGTTAAATAAATGCCGATATATATATATCCAATTTATGATATTTGCCAACAAGATAGTTTTAATTTTTTTAATACAAATATGTTTTAACATACAAACAATAACAGTTATTACAAACAATGATTTGTATACAAAAGTTTTACAAACTCACAAACATTATAAAGTCTTCTTTCTGGCCTGGAACTTCCTTGATGTCTTATCGAGGGTTCACGAAGAGCGAGTTAATTTCGAGTTGATGTAGGTATAATTCACTTAACAGGGAGCTAGCTATCTCTGTAGTTCTCGCTGATCACACGCGGATTACAGGTCGAATTTTCACCGATGACTTTAGGTAATGTTTTCGTAAAACTACTACTTTCCAATGTAAATCCACCGAAGTTAAGTGGTTTGTAATTTTCGAAATTTATAAATGTTTCTGGTCAAGTATCTGAAGTTTCCTGATTAATAAGCATTATAACAATCACAGTTATAGCTTCTGAAGTTTATAGCACATCAACTATAGCAAACCAATAATAGATACTGTTTTTTGGTGCATCGAGTTGGTTACATTTACAGGCACGTGTGGGGAGTTTCTCGAAACTTCAGTTTACGTAACAATACTGACGCTAACACTAGCGTACACGTACACACATATATTGCTGATTGTTACACTCGAGAATTTTCTACAACTTTAGAGAATAGGCGGGAGTTTTGCAATACATATCTAACAATACAAATTATGTAC